CTCTTGCTATAGAAGGTCATGGCACTCAGTGAAGGGATATAGGTAATCCCTGATTTATGACCATAATTGAGCTCAGAATTACATTGTAAACAGCAATGTTGGTTATGTTTCTGTGAGAATAGTTGTTCTTTTAACTTCCAGTCTCTTAAGGAATGATGTCCGCAGGATATTGCATATAGAGAGGGTGGGGTTCACTTAAACAATTAATATGTTAGGAGATTAGCCCATTCTCTGCACTGAGGTAGTTGTAGCTGTTCTTCATCTGGAATCGCAATGCCTACTGTGGGAAGTCAGCCCCCCCCCCGAGAAGGAAATATTAAAAGGGCAGAAAATATATTTCCTCAAAGGATCTTAAAGAGGCAGAAAAGCATGTCCAGTTTTTTTTCTTAATATCCCCAAGTCTCTCTCCCCCAAGCAGAAACCAGCTCTGTCAGAAATGCAGATGTAAATAATCCAGGAAGGTTGGAGGCCCCCAGCTAGAAGATTAAGAAGACAAAGACACCTAAAATCTACATACCCCACCCAAAGTCTAAGACAGGACATAATACGATTAACCCACAGATGGCAAAGGGACACAGATCAAAATACATGACACAGGAAATACAAAGCCTCAAACAGGAACAGAAAACAACCTCAAGAGCCCCAGAGGGTATAAAAACCCACTCCCTACATGTGCTCTCTCTCTTTTGTTCCAGAGCCATCTTTCTGTCTGGCTCTCCTCTTCAATAAACTGCAACCTTCTTTCTAAAGCAGTCGCCATGATGTTTATTCCCGGCTTGGACTGAACCACGATGAAGACTTTTCCTTCAACAATACATTAGGCAGGTTTTAGAGGAAAGTATTGATTGAGCTTTGCTGCAAAGGGAGAGAACTGGTTATCAGCAGAAATAATAACAATAACAGCCATGAGATTTGTTTTTGATTTTTTAATGTCAGTTAATAAAATATTTGTATAGAGCCCCAAAATTTCAAAATAGTGCAAAACATCTCACTATCATGCATCCATTGTTGGTAAAACCATTGCTCAATCCACTTCAGGTATGTATGTACAGAACAGACAACATGAAAACATATTCCAACATGTGTGCTACACAAATAGAATTTACTTTATTTTATTGTTTGGGGTTTTAAAATTTATTCTGATCCATTTTGTTGTTAGTTTCAACTACATGCCAAAGAGAAACAGTTGAAGGAGGAACCAGTTTGGGGGGAAGATGGAGGGAGATGCCTACCCTTGGCTTCTTGTCATCTCACTGTGCAGGATAAGGGACAGTGTCAGCTCTGTTTGTGCCAAAGTGTGCTGGAGACAGAAATGGAAATTTTTGCTTTACCTCCCCTGCAGTCTTAAGAGGGTTTCAAGACAAGGCTTTAATTGTGCGATTGTCCTGCCTTGTTCATAGAATTTTGCAGAAGATCCAGACAACTTTCATTTGTAACCTACATATTTTCCTGCTGTGGGTGCCATCTTGCCCCAGAAAAAAGTCTGTTAAGGAGGGAAGAGATGAAATCACCTTGCCACGTGTTTTGATTTGCTAGCCACAATAGCTATTTGCCTGGATGCAACTGTCGCCTAAGCTTTCCCTCCTTTTAATTTTTTCAAATGCAATTTATATAAGTCTGGTGGATTGTGCATATGTCTGTGTGTAAACATTCAACTCAAAATCCTGATACTTTGGTCCCAAGCAATTCATAAAAAAAATTAAACATTTTTGAAAAAGAGGAGGGACAAATGGGGAGAAAAAGAGTTCTGACTAATGGAGGAGTTAAGCTTGGAAGTAGATTTGTGCAGTGTTTGGAAGAGGTGAATATGAGGTTTCTGGAGAGGAGATGATGTCTTTCCTCTAGGTTTAGGTGGACATCACTGTCTTTATTTCAGGGCACTCTTGTATGTTCTCTAATGTAGCAATGACAGCCCACTACACATCCAAAGATTCCTTGGAAATCTTTCAATTTCCAGATGTTGGGGACACCAGAGATCATAGGTGGAATTCCTTCTTTACATACAGAAGATCTCAAATACCATTCTTGATGCCTGCTTTTAACAAAATCCCATGGTGGGGGGGGGTGAGCTGACAATCAGGTGCAAATAATTAAGGGCAGAATGAAAAAATAATCTGCCTGATGTAAGGCACCTTTCTAGGAAGCCAAGATTGATATAACTGGTTTAGAGCTGCCAACCGGTGAGAGTTGATCCATATCAGGTAGCAAACAAGGAAGGAGAACAATGAGCTGTATTTCAGTGGCAGAGGAGCAAACTGGGATGGAGGGGCAGTTAAGCATGGAACTGGCAAATGACACCAACTAATGGGCTGTGTGATAAATTCAACCCATATATCTGTACGGCCATAGAAACATGTGGACAGAACTGGCCAAGCTGTTAGAATTGATGCAGCTTTCAGAAGGGGAGCTCTCTAAAGATGTGACATCAATCGGGAGATTTAGGATAGTCATAATAATAATAATAGTAAAGTTGGAAGGGACCTTGGAGGTCATCTAGTCCAACCCCCTGCTCAGGCAGGAAACCTTATACCATTTCGGACAAATGGCTGTCCAATCTCTTCTTAAAAACTTCCAGGGTTGGAGCATTCACCGCTTCTGGAGGCAGGTTGTTCCACTGGTTAATTGTTCTAACTGTCAGGAAATTTCTCCTTAGTTCTAGGTTGCTTCTCTCCTTGATCAGTTTCCACCCATTGCTTCTCGTCCTGCCTTCAGGCGCCTTGGAGAATAGCTTGACTCCCTCTTCTTTGTGGCAGCCCCTGAGATACTGGAACACTGCTATCATGTCCCCACTCGTCCTTCTTTTCGTTAAACTAGACATATCCAATTCCAGCAACCGTTCCTTATATGTTTTAGCCTCCAGTCCCCTAATCATCTTTGTTACTCTTCTCTGTACTCTTTCTAGAGTCTCAACGTCTTTTTTACATCGCGGTGACCAAAACTGGATGCAGTATGATGATCAGTTAATTTTTCCAAAAGCTGGGCCATCCTCCAGCAACTCCATAAACAACTGCTTTCTTACAGAATGTTGTTCCTTTGGACCTCATGCCTTTTTCCAAATATCTCCTCCCTTTAATGTTCTGCTTTTGTCCCTCTCTTGGAACCTTTCAAACCTTGAATTCTTTCCAAAATTACATACTATAGTCCCACACCTATAAGGCCTTACTTGAGTATTATCTTCTTACGGGTACTGAAACAAATACTGCATGAATACTCCACATTTTCACACCTCTCCCTCATTCCCTCTACACTCACAAGAATAAACCAGCTTAGGTGTGTTATCTCAATAGAGGTAGTAATTATGACACACCAGAAAACGAGTCGGGGCCAATCCTACTGACTGAATGCTCCTTTCCTTGAGTAAAATAAGAGTTCTTGAGTTAGCACACATGCTCCACATTGTTGTTGCCAAGTTTGCAGAAAGGTTGCCTACAAATTCCCCTTGGCTGAATTCTTCCACGTCCCCTGGCATTCTGAAATACCTGGTTTTATTTCCACATAGAAATAAACTTGGGCATTTAGGACTGTCCATTTTTGCACTTCTAAGGTTCTTAACATTCTTACCACAATGTTCAGTCTTTTAATTGTCCACTGTTCTCCCATGCATTACTTTTATATGTTCATGTGTTAACGAACACCACAAAAAAAAAAGTCAATCGTGATAATCATGATGGTAGCAAGAACACAGTGTGGTGTTTTACCAACGTTCAGAGATGATGTTCGTGAACATTGATAAAACCTCACCCAGTACTGTGATGCAGTAAATATTTGAAGGTGGGGCAGAGTTTCAATGCATATACAAATAGTAACTCAAGTGAGACAGGAATGGAATGGAATGGAACTGTAAAACTGTAGCAAAGTGCATGCTTCGCTTATGGAATTAAATCTGGAACTTCTCGGAACTGGAGGAAAATAAAACGAGAAAAAAATATCCTAAAAATAATAGAACAGAAAAAAGGAAGCCATAGCCCTTCAGATGATGGATTACATTCCTATCATGTCTGATTGCTGGCCTTCCTTGAAGGCCACAGCAATAGAAGAGTATCATGCTGATCCCAAGATGGTGAACTGCATAGCTGCCATCCTCTAGCTTTGCCTCGGTGGGCTAATAATCGTGAATAGACTGGACGAACTTCAGATCAGCCTTTTGGGCGCTGTTAATCTTGATGCAACTTGGTGCTAGAATTGCAGGGAAGAATCTGATGATATTTCTTTAGCCCTGTTGAAGACAAAGAAAGCTACCTTTCCTAGTGCTATAGATTTGTAATTTATCCTTATTAACACTTGGCACAGAAATTTCGCTTTTATTTACAGTTGGTTGCTAGTTCAATCCCCAGCATTTTCAGTTCACAAATTAGGCAGCATATAGTGGGAAATATTTTTCTATAACTGAGACCTCCGAACAACGTTTCTCAACCTTGGCAACTTTAAGATGGATCGACTTCAGCTCCCAGCTAGGCATGCTGGCTGGGGAATTCTGGGAGTTGAAGTCCAGTCATCTTCCTGTTACCAAGGTTGAGAAACACTGCCTTAGATATCAGCTGCCAATCTAAACTGGAAATACTGGGTTGATTGACAAATACCCTGAAGGTAGCTTCTGATGCTTCTCAGGCAAAAATGTGCCAGGAAAGAGGGGATGGCAGGAGTTTATGTCGAAATGCAGTCAGCAGCATCTTTGATTTTTTTTTTTTTTTAGGATCCTTTCCAGAAACAAACTCTTTGTTCTCTCACCTCTCTCTGCTTCATGGGGGAATTTGGCAATGCACATGTATTTGAGAAGGTATGCGTGTGATCCTTGGCAGCGGGAGCAAAGCTCCCAAATAAAAGAGTGAGGAGCAGGGAGGGCCAGGGTGAGGGAGAGAAAAGACAGCTCCGAAAACTCTATGGCTTTGACATGGCTGTATAAAAGAGGGAAGGGACCAGGAAGAGAAGGGAAGGCAATTCTAGCAGACTGTGGAAGGGAACAAGGGGGAGGGGGAAGTCGGGGGGGAGGCAGATTGGTCTTAGCTACTGCTGCCCTCCTCGGCTGAGCGCGTATCTGACTTCAATTTGACAAACTCCTTGGCCACCTCGTCATTGTTTCTCTGCGAAAGGATGCGCAGCACCGTCAGGCCCGTGTCATCCATGTGGATGCGCCGGCCCAGCGGCAGCCAGCAGGCACAGCTGCCCCGCTGCACGATGTCCTTCAACTGCAGGATGGCGATGCCCACTGTCCGGTCTTCCCGTGCAAAGCAGTAGTCTTTGACGCAGACTTGCAGCTCGTAGCACTCTGGGCCTGTCTCAGTGCCGAGGGTGCTGGAGGAAGAGGAAAAAGCAGGAAAAAAAATTAAGGTCATTCACAACTGAAAATCCTTGCCTACATCTATGAAAAGGACACAGAGTCCACATTAGCTCAGGGCTCTCCTTGACCCACTATGGTGACCCATGTTTTGCTCTCATTTTCAGAGCTAGGTTCCAAACTGTTACCCATAAACTATGACTAGAGAAAACTCTCTCTACCTGCCTCTCTATATCCTTCTCCCATGCCAGAGTCTATTTCTTGCTAATGCTTTTGGAAATTGACACTTTTGATCCTTATAGTGATCCTATTGATGCAAATTATTAACTAATTAATGCCTCAGATTGTTGCACTATGATACATTAGTAGGCAATGTATCAAGGTACTTGATTCTCAATCCATGCTGTATATGCAGCCAGCACTTGCAATGCAACTTTCAACATTATGGCTGCAAGCTACAGTGTTGCCTCTTGCAATTTTATTCCCTTATACCAAGGCTGCAAATGCATCTTCCTCACAAAGCCTAGAATTGTGCTTTTTTTTCCACTTTCCCTTAGTGTACAGGTCCATCTTTGCTGCTCAAAATGGTGCATTTTCATTCTACAACTGCACATTCTGGGTATCCGCGTTTCTAGTTTCACATTACCAGCTTGTAACTGCACCTGCCATCTAGAGATTAGCCCATAGCACATACAGGTAGTCCTCGAGTTACATTTAGTGATTGTTCAAAGTTACAATGGCATTTTAAAAAGTGTCTTACAACCAGTCCTCACACTTAAGGCGACCTCAGCATCCCCACAGTCATGTGATCAAAATTCAGGCTCTTAGCAAGGCAACTGCATGTATTTTTTAATTATTGCAGTGTCCCGGGATCATGCCATAGCCATTTGTGATATTCCCAGCCAGCTTCCAAAAAGCAAAATCGGAAGGTAGTTAGGATAAAAGAGAGATAAGGAAGGGTCTCACCCAAATCCTCCACGGTGCTTCGTTGTGCTTAGCTGTAATTTTGGCTTTCGGCTGGTGCGACTTAGTGATCGTCCATGTTAATGGCCGATCTTTTCTTCTTTGGTCCTGAGGAGCTGCCTCGGATCAAATGGAGGGGCTGCCACCCCTCCGCGATCTAGCAAGGGTCCTCCCCAACGGTGGTCGCCCCTCCAGGGCGACTTTCGACCCTTTCCAGGGTCTTCTGAAGAAGGAAAACCGGACGGCGGAGAGAGAGCTCTCCTCATACATCCGCTGGCGCCGTGATCCAGAACCGGAAGCCGGATCACAGTAATTACAACGATTCGTTAACAAATGTGGCAAAAGTAATAAAATCAGGCATGGCTCACTTAATGACCACCTTGCTTAACAATGGAAATTATGGTCCCAATTGTGACTGTAAGTCGAGGAATATCTGTACTTTTACATCTTTAATACTCTACACGATTGTGTCATGCTTCAATTTAAAGTAGAAGCCTTCCTAGTGGACATATGATCTTGGGAAATGATGCAAGTGCTTTAATGAGACAATGAAAAAGCACCTCTTTAAATCTAATACAAGACATTGCACTTTCCTAATGATTCACCTGCTTTTTCCTAACATCAGAGCTATAGTCTTTAACTGCAGGAGAATGCAATTAATTTACTAGATAATGCTCCCTTTTTTTTTTGCTGTGTCCCCTCCTTGCCAAAAGAATTCTGAGGCCAGGGCACATTTTGCGCAGAAAACTCTAGTGTTGTCTCTATTCCAGACAGGGAAATCAGAAACACTCACAACTGGATGCTCTCATTGTATTTGGGGGACCAGCTATTGTTCTTCGACTTGGTAGCAAATTTCCTTTTCTTGTCACTGAGATGCGGCCCAATAATGTTGACTTCAATGAAAGGCCGGAAGATGCCCGATGTTTGCCACTTGAGATCATTGGCAGCCACCACTAAGGCAGAAAGGAGAGAGAGGAGAAACGACTATGGTTGTTGATCTTACCTCAAAGGAAATAATGTGGATTATTAGAGCAGAAGAAGTGTGGAATCGGCAACCTGTAATATTCTGGATTTTCTAACCTACAATTGGCTATGACTCCTAATACCTTGACATATGTTAATTAAATTGTTGTTAATTCAATTGTTTTTCACATGTTGCCTAAAATCTAAATAGCGTACGCCACTTGCATTATTCAAAAAGTTTCATATATATCTATATGTACATCTTTGTGACAGCTCTGTATGATAAACCAATTGCTCTCATGCTCACTTAAGACATATATATATATTTCTCCATTTGCCTTTGTGTGTATTTGGGTGCAGTCACAGGAAAAAATAAAGGCTGTAAGCACAAAGGGAGAAGAAGGACAAAATGGCTATTCACCCATCATTTTGACTCTGGATAGTATATATTTCTATCCTGCCCAAAAGCAGGAATGAACCCTGCAATATAAACCAATGGAATAATCCAGGATTTTAATGAATCAACGTAGGGCAGTAATGTGCTGCTTTCCCTAGTAATCAATGACAAATGTACACAGCCTTGACAAACTGAGGTTCTATGTATTTCTATTGTAGCTAAAAAGTTAGTTTATGGCATCTTTCCCAACTTGCCATCGTCTATACTGTATGTGAACATTTCTATATTTTTCCATTTTTTTAAACCACCCCAATCTGAAGACTCTGGGCAATGTGAATAAAAGTAAAACTTCAAAATAAAAAAGCCAGCAGATGTGACTACCAAACAATGAAAAGAAAGGTAGAATAAGATTTAGCGGTTCCCCAAATATATTGGTTCAAGAAGCCCCAGGTAGTGTGGCTTTCTGCCACTTTGGGATACGCTGGTCTCCTGGTGATCATCACTGACCTTTGACTGTTACTTTGTGTTCACTGGTGCCAGGATGGGTGAAAAACTCAACATGGACGGAGACTTCTCCCACAGGATCGTCTACTCCAGAGCCTGCATGGCAAAAGCAGGAGGGGAAGAGGTCCCAGAGTGGCCAGACAAGAAGAGAGCAGAGGAGATGACCATTAGCCTTTGCCAGACCAGGCGCCCTGTCCATCAATACCATGCAGGGACTCAGGGCTGCTGGTTCCCTTGGAGTGGTTCTCATTTAGAGGCACCTCTGGCTTTGGGTCTTTTAACAATGAGCCCTTCCCTCTACTAGACTGATCAAGTTAAGGCTTCGCCTCTCACAAAAAAAAGTTTTCCTGGAAAATTATTATTAGGTAGTATTAATATCCCAAAATCTATCTGTTTTCTCTTCCTAGCATTTTCCTGCAAGTATAGGGTCTGCTTTTTTTTCAGATCAATTGAGTGATGATACTGAACATTAGCTGTGACAGGAATTGACCATCTGACTTATCATATCTATCCATCCATCCTCCCACCAGCCAGCCAGCCAGCCAGCCAGCCAGCCAGCCAGCCAGCCAGCCAGCCAACCTTGGACATTAAGGACCCCACAGTTCAATTCTGAGCTACAAATATTCTTTTATCTGTCAGTCAGTCAGTCAGTCAGTCAGTCAGTCAGTCAGTCAGTCAGTCAGTCAGTCAGTCAGTCAGTCAGTCAGTCAGTCAGTCAGTCAGTCAGTCAGTCAGTCAGTCAGTCAGTCAGTCAGTCAGTCTGTCTGTCTGTCTGTCTGTCTGTCTGTCTACCTACCTACCTACCTACCTACCTACCTACCTACCTACCTACCTACCTATTTTTCTTTTTTCTCACCCTCTCTCTCCCTCTCTCCTTCTCTCTCTCTCTTTCTCTCTGCATCCTTATATATTGTATATGGCCCCAAATCTTAGAAGACTCTAAGAGGTTTGCTCCTGGGCCATGAACCAAACAACAGCATCAACCTTACTTTTCAATCACGGTCAGCAGGACCTTCCCCTTTGAACAAGTGGGCTTGTTGATTATATACCTGGCTCCCTGCTATGTATCAACGGCCCTGCCTGAGCTGGCCGACGTAATAGCCGGGGTGGCGGTTGAGACCCCCAGACTTATAGTTATGGGGGATTTCAATCTGCCATCGGCGGGCGAAACGTCGGCGACGGCTCGGGAGTTCTTGGCCTCCATGACGGCCTTGGACTTGACCC